AATATGCAATTTTTTTTACTGTATTCAATAAGTAAAAATCATAAATTGTAAAACTAAAAGATTACAGAAAGCTACCTACATTTTTCAACCGATTTCAACAAAACTTCACTTTTTTTTGGCAGGTAGTGTTTCTTATTGTCTTGCACACTTTTTTCTTTATTTTTACATTCAGAATGCTTTAAAAATTACATTTACAAGACAATTGTTTCTAATAAAATTCTATTCAATCGGTAGACTCATAACGATTGAAAACAAAGTTTTTGTTTGGGTTTGACCAATTCATAAAAAAAAAAAAAATAATTATTAAGACATGCGTGTCTGTCAACCTTAAACAGTAATCTTTGTCAATTTTATTTTTTTTCATCTTTATGATGGTCGATACTTGATCTATCTCTTACTGTTACATCCCCGGGCAACACCGGTCTCTACTGCTAGTAATTTCTAAAAAGAATCAGTGTTTTATTAAATATGAATTATTACAGCAACTTAATAAATATCTAATATTTATTTATTAAGTTTCTATAATAATTCATATTTTATTCTTATTCAACCTCTGTATGCAAATTTAAAATTTATATTTAGTTTTTATTCACTGTCCTACAGGATTAGGTTCTTGTTTATTATCAAAATATATGCATGAATTAAACCACAATAAATGGAATGATGTTTGCTGCTTAGAGTGTTATTGATGCAATTAAGGTGTGTCTTATTTTTGAAGTACATGCTATAATTGAATTGTTTAAACTCTTACCCAAGTTTTTAAATAAAAAGAATAAAAACATTTTATTCATAAACTTTTGTATTCATTTTTCTACAAAATATTTTATTAATTAATGTACTTTGTCTATTAACTTTCCCAAACCAACTGTTTATCATTGTAGGTATGGGAATCAGAAATTTAGAACAGTATCGAGAATTGTATTGGAATCAGTATAAATATATTGGTATTGTCCCATCACTAATAACTATATAAGCTTTAAAATAAGCATACAAATAAACAATCTACTTCCATAGATTAAATACAGGAGTATTTAGGTTATACAGATTGGTATACACCTGAAATGTTTTTGTAATAACAACAAAGAGAACAGATTAAAGAGATGAGATTTTCTATCATTCTTTAAAATGGGTTCAGCAGAGGTCAGAATGAGAAACGGGGCTGAATGCTGTTCAACATGAAGTATTAAGACTCCAAGTTTTGCTTTGTGAATTTGGTAACATAGTAATTGTGAGTTCAATTCCTGGGCTGGATAGTGCAAACTTTGATTCAGTAGAAACAGGGTGAGCAATATCTCGGCAGTACTAAATAAGATAAGACATCTGTAGACATGAACAGTGGAACAATTTCTCCCTGTAGATTAAATAAACAGTTCAGTTCAAAATTTATCTGGCTACCTCAAAGGCATCTGAAGAAAGCTGGAGGGATAACAATAAAAAAGACGTAGTGATGGTAAATGGTTTTTAATTTTATGGATCCCGGGGCTCACTGGTGGTAATTTGGCTCCATCCGTGGGGAATGCTTCGAACTAAAACCACACGACAATATAATTATATAAGCTTTCAAATAAGCATATAAGTAAATAAGAGACCAATCTACTTCCATTGATTAAATACAGGATTCAGTTTAGTAGGTTATAAAGATTGGTATACACCTGAAATGTTGTAATAACAACAAAGAAGACAGATTAAAAAGATTAGATTTGCTGAAAATGGGTTCAGCAGAAGTCAGAATGAGAAACGGGGCTGAATGCTGTCTAGCATGAAGTATTAAGGCTCCAAGTTTGGGACAATAACCTGGTGAATTAAAGTGTTGGTGTGTGAATTTGGTAATATTGTAATTCTGAGTTCAATCCCTATGTCGGATAATGCAAACTTGGATTCAGAGGAAACAAGGTGACCAATATCTGAATAAGATGAGACATCCCCAGACATGGACAACAAAACAAGGACAATTTATCCTTGTACATTAAATAAACAGTTGAGTTCAAAATTTTACCTGGATCAACAGACACCTGAAGAGGGCTGGGGGGAATAACAAAGATGGGGAAGGGATGGAAAATGATTTTTTATGTTATAGTTCCCAGAGCCCACAGGTGGTGATTTGAGTGCGTCCTTGGGAAATTCTGTGTGTCATAACTAAAGTTTTATAATAAACTGTTCTGTAAAAACTGCAGGGGTACAGATTTCATTTTCTGTTTTTTTACCCCCACAAAATTTTAATCAGGCCAAATAACTTAAATTGACAAAACAATTCTTTAAATAAACAGCTACCACCATGTTAAAAAAAAAAATTTGTGATATTTTAAACTGAAGTAATATTTATTTCAGATCAGATTAATTAAACATTAAATCAATATTCCTCCAATAAACCTTAAGAAAAATATATTTTATTTTTAGGACATTTTCTAATATTATTATATTGTGATGGTAGATGGCTAAAAATGGCGCTAAAATATAAAATTTCAAAAGGAAAAATCCTCCCCGTCAACTTATATTAGTTTTGAAATACAGCAAGGTATTTTTTTTTTTTTTTTTTTAAGCATTATGCCCCGAGCAAGGCGTGAAGCCACTAGGATGCAGGGGGTTGCAGAAGATTTGGAGCAAGAGCAGATAGGAGTGATAGAAGAAAGGATGAGGAGAAGGATAGTGGGTAGATCAAGGTAACTGGAGGTGTTGATTGACATTACATTTGAATAGTTGGAGAGATTATAGCTATCAGGGAAACAGTAATTGGGAAGGGTGTTCCACAGGCAAGAGGTGTGAGGTATGAAGCTATTGGAGTAGAAGAGATGGCTACATTTAAAAGTTTCTACAGTGTAAGGGTGGGAGCGGGATGCCAGCCTCGTAGGACACTTGAATTCATAGAGTCTGGGAACCAGTGAAAGCAGCTCATCGGAGCAATTACCATGAAAGTATTTGTAGAAAAGACAGAGGCGACGACGCATCTGTGAGAGAGTGACTGCAGACGAGATGCCAGATCAGGGCCAATTACATTATATATCTGTCTCTGGATCTTGTCAAGAACTCCGAGGTAAACAGAAGGTGCCCCAGTTTGCTTAATGGAAATATTAAATTTCATCAATTAGCTTAAAATTAATACTAAAATGCAACCATTAAGAAAGATTTTTCATTTAAAACAAATTCATCATAAATCATAGGTATCTTGAATTTTTGTAGGCATGGTGAAGTAATTAATGGATAGCTGCTTGGATTGAGGAATCAGAGAGCCGAGTTCGAATTCCAGTTGATTCCATTATATTCACTTACATGTTAATACCCTTGGGAAAGTTATAAGTCCTCCTCTTCTCTCACCAGCTATGGGTAAATATCAGGACAGACCGGGTTCTATAGCATTGGCTGGCAACTGGTCTACCACAGAAAGAAATGGCAACCTACTGTGGAAAAAAATCTACCTCATCAGTCATGTATCAAAAGATACATGATCGCCAAAGCATGGCACATAACTGACAACTGAAGAATGAAGGGAAGATAGAAATAAAGAGAAAAAATCATATTATGCTGATATGAACAGATGCTACGCTTTGATCTTAGGTGTAGATATATTGTGACTGCAATAACTGCACTGTATTTACATTAGTCGGACTATTGTCCTCATCTTTGTCGCCATATTCAACCAACAACGTTTTCCGTTATGCGCTCCGGCCTTCTTCAGGTGGTTGGAATTTCGAACTGAACCCTTTATTTCGATCGCTGGGGTAGACTGTTCTAATTCCACGTGCCATGTTTGATGGATGTCAGTTATCAGTTATCTCCTGCTAATTTTCCTCTGAAAGTTCTCACTGCCTTAACCAGGAATTGAACTCACCTTCTTTGGGTCTGTCACTGGATCTAACCAACGCCTTTATCCACTGTGCCATGTGTAGAAGAAGACACCTGAAGAAGGGGCACAACAATGGGAAAAACGTTGTGACAAATATGGCGACAAAGATGAGGACAATAGTCCGACTAATGTAAATACTGTACATAATACCTCATCTCAGAAATATAGACAATAACTGCACTATTCTCCACGTTCACAATATCGGACAATGGAGCCCAATCAAGGTAATCACCACAAATCCAGCAACCATAAATAAAATAATATTGTCTGTTGAATTATTTTTAAATTATTATTCTTGAGAGAAATGTTTGTAAAATGGGGATTTGGCTAGAAAGAAATATGCCAAGAAAAAAGTGTTTAACATATTCTGCCAATATTGCCTAAATAACAGACTATTCTGTTTTGATTGCACAGAAAAATAAAAGACATTCTGCAATAGATGTAAGAGATCTGGGACTCCAATCTCTGCCAGTAAGTTGTGTAAGGACTCAAACTTTGTCAGTTGGGGGGGGGGTCTCTTTTGGGCCATCTAGTAAGGGGTTTTGCTGACTATTCAGTTTCACATCACTTAAGATTTAAGCAATTTTGCAGAGTAGGAATATTGAGGCAGGACTGATGCTCTTTGATTAAACCATGGCGAGTGAGGGTGGGGTGCCAAACATTAGTGCATTTGTTTGATTTATGCAGATATGAGTCTGTTTTGTTATATTTTCATCTGTAAAGCATAGCCATTTGTATTTTGTGAGCCACTACTCGAGAAAAATTAGGTTTCTTTTGGAAGAAGATGAAGAGGATAGCAACTTTTCCACAGTTGTCTTTTTCAGTCTCAGTCAAAGAGGAGACGGATGTAAGTACAGGTTGTGTTGAGTTACTCTCGTAAGACTGAGCAGGCTCCGGAAGGGATTCAGAGGTAGAAATAGCAGAAAATGCAGCTGCAATAGTCTGTTGAGCAGCAACGTGTTTTATTTTTTCCTTCAGTGACATTCTTATAACTTTCATTCTCATTGTTCACTCGTGGGGGGGGGGGAGATATCATCTGAAGTGTGATCTATGCTCTGACAAAATCAAATCTGAACATCTCAAAACCACTGCAAAGTGCAGCAATTGGAATGAAAGTCAGTTTGTTTTACTGTCTGTAAAACTAAAGGATTTATCTTAGGGAAAAAGAAAGCTGGAGAGACTCTCTCTCTCTCTCTCTCTCTTCCTCTCTCTCTCTTCCTCTCTCTTTCTCTCTCTTCTCTCTTCCTCTCTCTCTCTGGGTAGAAACAGTTTGAGTGAAATTGACATGTTGTAGTAAAGCTCAAAGAGGAAGATGAAATAGGAGAGATGGAGAATATATTTTTATTGCACAATTCACTTACTTTGAAAAATAAAATTTTTTTTTTTTTAAACAATATTTGTTTTTATTGACACTCTCTTGGCTGAAAATGCAGATCCATAAACTTCAAAAGATTTTCTCTGCAGCATGTCTGACTTCAGTGAAAATGCAGACCATCAAACTTCACAAGACTATAGTTTTTATCCAGTGTGTGTATGCATATGTCTCATTAAATGTGTCTTCTGTGAATATGTAGATCGACAAACTTCACAAGAATATGGTTTCTCTGCAGTGTGTGTACACATATGTCTGATCAAATCTAATGTCTGTGAAAATGCAGATCCACAAATTTCACAAGAATACGGTTTTTCTCCAGTGTGTGCATGCATATGACAGTCTAAATATGACTTTCGTGAAAATGCAGATCCACAAATTTCACAAGAATATGGTTTCTCTCCAGTGTGAGTACGCATATGTACCACCAAACATGACTTCCATGAAAATGCAGATCCACAAACTTCACAAGAATAAGGTTTCTCTCCAGTGTGAGTACGCATATGTTTGACCAAATTCGATTTCTGTGAAAATGTAAATCCGCAAACTTCACAGGGATATGGTTTCTCTCCAGTGTGTGTACGCATATGATTGACCATATTTGACTTGTGTGAAAATTCAGATCCACAAACTTCACAAGAATATGGTTTCTCTCCGGTGTGCGTATGCATATGTCTGATCAAATCTGGCTTCCGTGAAAATGCAGATCCACAAACTTCACAAGAATATGGTTTCTCTCCAGTGTGTGTACGCATATGAATGACTAAATTTGTCCGCCGTGAAAATGTGGATCCGCAAACTTCACAAGAATATGGTTTCTCTCCAGTGTGTGCACGCACATGTCTCACTAAATGCGACTTCTGTGAAAATGAAGATCCACAAATTTCACAAGAATATGGTTTCTTTGTAATATGTGTTTCCATCTGGCTTGTTCAACTTTACAACAGTTTAGCAAATGTCACATAAATATGGTCTATCTTTACTGTTTGTTCATACATAATACTAAATGTGTTCTTTTAGAAAGATAAACCACACATTTCAAAATGCATTATTTGTTGCAAGGTAAATTTCATTTTCATGTTTTTGACAATGTAGATTGATCAATTTGACATAAACCATGTCACATGTATTTGTCTGAGTTTTTATAGAAAGTCTTTTCTTTCATTGAAATTCTCAATAATAACCACTGCAGTTGTTGTAAAGCCAAAACATCTGTAAAGAAAAAAAGCATCAATCATATATTAATAGTGATGGTGAACAATATATGAAAACAGTCTATATTATAAGAGATATATGAAATTATTTCAATAATGCAGCAGCCGCCAGTGAAAATCAAACTGTTTGCAGTGAAACAAGATTGCTTCACCATCACATCATATGTTATGAAATGTATGGGATTAAAATTAGAAATTATCCATTGAGAAACAATTCAAATATGGATCTTGAAAAATATCTGATGATCTTTATGTTTATTTGGATCTTGTATTGGAGTATTGCAATGGGCAATATGATCAAATCCATAGCCGGCACCACCTGGTGTGAGATTATCTGCTGCAGGCATCTCTTGCCAATAAAAACAATCATTTTCATAAATGCGAAGGAAGATCTGTTGCTAAGACCTTCTCCTTAGGCCTGTTAGCAACATCACAAACATGAGAGCTGATATGCCCAAGAAAAACAAAGCATCATTTTCATCAGTGTCAAGGATGAGAAGATCTTTTAATACAACCTTCTATTTATTAAACTAATAATTAACAATTGGCAAAAAAAAACAGTAATAATTTCCAAAATGTTCACTTGATTTTATATATTATGTGAAAAAGCTTTTTGTTTAAGAATAGTAACATGTGGAAATCACATGAAAAATTGATGAAAACATTGATAGTAACACTGGAATAAATGAAATGTAATCTGAAGTGAAAAATCAGGCAAATGAAGATTGATTGGTTATTTTACCAGCATTTTAACTGCAATGTGTCATTTATGCTGAAACATTTTGCTTGTTATTAGGGAAGTGAAGAAAGTACATTACTTCTGTAGATATAATAGATATTATATATCAATATTTATGAGATGAAGTATTAAAACTATTTACGCTATTGGCATTGTTCAGATTATTGACCTTCCCTTTATTGCCATATTCACAATGTTTTGGATGTTGTACACTCCAGCCTTCTTCAGGATCTGTCTATATTTCTGAAATGAGATATTGTAGCTATTTACACTATTACATTGTTTGGACTGTTGCCTTAATCTTTATTGCCATATTCACAATGTTTCGTCCATTGTATGCTCTGGCCTTCTTCAGATGATATATGTTAGAATTTCAAATCAAAACCTTATTTAGTTCATGGCGGTAGATTTTTCTAATTCCACGTATCATGCCTTTGACTTACTTTTTGGATATATCTGTATCAGTTAATTCACTTCAGTTACTCAACTCTCCAAGTTTTTTGTTCACTCTACTGTGGCCAGGTATTGAACTCACAATTATTTCATTCAAGTCACTTTTTCGATTACTCAACCAACACTTTTATCCACAGGAGAATTAACTGATACTGAAATATCCAGAAAAAGTATGACACATGGAAAGCTAAAAAATGAGTATACATGATGAAAAAATGACCCAAACTTAATACAAAGTTGTAACATCAAAATCTATCATTAAGTTGAAAAAACAAAGGATTTTTTCTAGCAATCAGATTTCAACTGCCATTTTAATTTGTTACAATGTTTCCCTTTTATCACACTGTCCAACAAACATCAAAGGATAAAGTTGATACATCCACTTACCTTACAGTTTACAGTATATAGGAACCAAGTTTTATGAAGTTGACTTGATTTAATTAAAAAAAAAAGTGTTGTAGAAGGCAGGGCTGTGGTCAAATTTTCATCTTTTTGTTTTATCTTTTAGTTTTCCTATCACATGATGATGCACAGTTTGTCATTTCCAAAAGACAAATTTTATGAATTAGACCTTTTTTCAAAAATTTAATAACTCCATTTTTCCATTTTCATGAAAAATCAAGCCCAGGACAATTTCTGTGTATTTTTAACCTAGGTACCTCTTCTAATTTCTGCTACCTAAGGTTTAAAATTAATGTTTATAAATGAAAAAGCTTTTTTTAATTGAAAGATAAAGGATTAAATTTACTATTTCCAGTAAACAAAATACTCTGGTGTATTTCAAACAGAAATTATATTGACTGGAATCATTTTTTTCTTTTTTCTAAAATAGCTGATTCATGTCATTTTGTAGTCATCTTTCATCACAATGTAATTCTCTTTGTTAAAAAATCTTCCAAAAATATACTTTTCTATTTAAGGAATTTTAGCTGATTTAAATAATAATTAATCTGATGTGAAAAAATATTGCTTACTTTAGGTTTAAAATAATATAGAAATGTATTTTTAAAACAAAACAGTAACTGTGTTTTTAACCAACATTGCCATGTTTTACATAATTGACGAGGCAATACCAGATGATTGCACAATGATTGTTGTTCTATGGAGACTTTATCTGTAAAACATAATTTAACAAAATGACATGAGAGGCTTTTTATATCATTTTTAAGTACTCATTAATTTTTAAAATGTTTGAAAACATTCCCAGTAATCTAATTTTAGGAATGGTGACTTTAAATTTACTATAGGCATCGCTCTTCTTTTCTGATAATGTATACAGTCAACCATACTTTACAAAATTGGCACTTTGCATAATATTTTATATATAAAAAAAAATCTTGATGCAAAATGATTTGTATTAAGCTTTCCAATTTTTGATTAGTAAGTATAGTTTTGGTTTTGTAACAATATTACTTAACCTGATGAAAGTAATGGAGAATTTTAAAATATTTATATACTGTAAATTATTGTAATTATAATTTTTAAAAAATGAAAACAATTCTTGTAAAAATTAATCATTCATTGCAAAAACATTTTTTCTTAAAACAATAGTGTCCTAAATAAATTTTATTTATAAAAGCAATTAAAAACTTTTCTAATAATGTCATGTGGCACTATTGTGACATTGGTAGTATGAAATTAGCAATGAAATGTTTATGTGGAAACCCTATATAGGAATTAGAGAATTGGAAGGGTTAAAAATGTTAAGGTGAAAACATGGATTGAAATATGAGTGAAGGAAAAAAAAGTGATTTTTTTTTTTCTTTCTGATAACTAGGCTGGTGATACAAGCAATCTGACATGCCAGGCCAGCGAATATAAACATTCTGAAATGTGAAGAGAATTATTTGGAACATATCCTGGCTGTTGGCCGTTCCAACCACCTGAAGAAGGCCGGAGCGTACAACGGCCGAAACGTGACAAATATGGCGACAAAGATGAGGACAATAGTCCGACTAATGTAAATAAAGATATTTTCTTTGCTATTTGAAATAAATTTCAAAATGCAAAAATTTTTATTGGGAAAAATCATTGTTTTGAATAGCTGACCACCTTTTATTTGGAAGGTCATTGTCAGCCAAGAAGCGAATTGAGTTATTATTCATAAAGCCAAAATGTAAACAATGGGATTTTAAATCAGTCATTTTGACAATCAGAAAACAAAATGAAATTCTTTTACATGAGAGAACATGGACATAATTTTTAAACATAGAAGTTTGTTAATGAGAAAATTATTGATTTAGGTAAATGGCCGATTGTCAAAAGGAATGTTAAACAAAGTTTATTGTCAAAGGATTACTGTTTTAAAATAGCTGATTGCTTTGTTTAAGGGCCAGTATCATGTCTCCAGCATTGGAGAAAATAATGAACTGATAAATGATTAATGAGTTTTGAGGTGTAGTAGGGGTCTGGCAAAAAAACATATAAACTGAACACTTAGTTGAGGCCAGCAATTGAAGTGAGAGATGCAGACTAGATATAACAG